TTTAGCAAACACTGAGGAATCAAATAAATAAAAAAGAGAGCCTCCATAGCAAAATGTGAGGTAAACAGCAAAGATAACTAGCTTTTCAAAATGAAAACAAAAAGAAAAGTAAAACTAAACTTGCTGTCGGTGATGGTGCTTGCATGTTTTTTCCCCCCACAAGAATACCAACATGTTCACCTCTGGTTCAAGAAGCGGTCCTTTACTTTACTTTAACATGAAACCCATCCATCGTTTCCTCAATATTCACGTCATTTTTGCTGCACACAGCTTCGCGCTCGTGCTGACGCGGCGAGTATAAACCAGGCTCTACACACTATAAGTGCTGCGCAGTTCAAACGAGTCACGCGGTTTCGTTATGCTTTCAGTTTCGTTTGCCGTTTGATGTTTCTCATATGCAGCAGAAATGGCAGAGCTTATGAGTTGAACAATGCGGTGGTAGCGCCAGTGCGACCGCACACAAAATTTAGTCACACGGGCAGAAATGATGTCACACGGGCAGTCATGACGCAATAGAATCACTGAATGATTTTTTGATCAAAACAAAAGAACCAGTTCACTGAAATTGGGGTTTCCATCAGTAATTTGCTTTGAAATGAGTCTTACTGTTAAAAAGCTGTTACTCTTTAGTTTCGAATGCCAAAAAATGGTTTTATATTTGGACATTTGTTCTGACTATTGTTGGATCTTATTGAGATTGCATGCTGTTTTACTGCTCTTTCACTTTTGGTAGGATCTGTGTGACTCTGGTTTTGCTGACAAATAAAAGTGACTATACCAGCTCATACCTTTTGGTTTGCTGTGTGCTTGCATACATTTCACTTTTGAAACCACTAGACCAACAAGTTAAGTGAGAAGTGTGTTCTCCTGATCCTGCCAGGTTACCTTGGAGACTCAGTAATCAATAAGACCTTATAGATGATTTGATAAAGAGTAGTGGAAGAGAAGTTGAATTAAACTGTGATTATCTATCAAGAGATATCTTTTGTTATACTTTTCTGTGACATGATATTTAGATAAGTGCTTGATCAATATGGGTTTTTCAATTTGTGATTTCTAAATTTTGCATTTGGTCCCTCCCATATTTGGAAATTTGGTTACCTTGCAAACTGCCACAGTGCTTTTTTTAGTAAGGGTCTGACTGTTGTTAGTGACGCCATTGTCTTCTGTGACTCTCTCATCTTGAAGCAGACATGTGTAATTGATGTCCTGAAGTGTGACTGTCTGTTATGTATTTGTATGGTGTTTTGCAAGATAGTTTCAAAACCCTTTCTTGCACTGAACATTTAGTTCGAACTGAGTGAACTCATCCACTCAAATGCATTACATACAGAAAAACTTGTGGTCAAAGTTGGTCAAGGCAGAATATTTATTAGATATTTCAAATGCAGTCCTGGCATTAGTTGATTTCCATTAATGTTGTAGTCTTTAATGGTTTGCATTCTCTGTTATGTAGTAGCAAGTAGTACTGGGTGATTTATTAAATATACACAATATATTCTTAACAGTTTTTCGCTTGTTATTTGACCATCACATTTCCTAAAATTCACATAATTGGTTTGTGATCCATTCTTGCCTTGAGGCTCTCTTTTTAAGACAGCAGTATTTGCACGGAAGCCAATTTTCATATATTTTAGTAAAATATCTGTAGGTAAATATTGCTATTTTTTAAATAAGTATTGTTATATTGAGGCATATAAATGGAAATGATCGATTAATTATGATTCTTCCTGGGATTTTATAGTATATTAGTGCAAAACATTAAATACACTTTTACTGTTTTTGTTTTTATATCTTAACGTTATAAATCATGGGGACATCGTATATATATATATATATATATATATATAATGTATACATGTATTTGTTTTTGCTGTATCACCCAACCATAGTAAGAACATCTGGTATTAAGGATTGATTTCACATGCCTTAAAGCCACTACCAGCACTCCTTTGACTAAACCGGTCTCATATGTCTGGCATTTAAATGTCTCATCAGACTGATCAAATGTTAGTGAACAGATAAGGCTTTGTGTTTGTGTACAGAAGCCCCTATCTGTGTTGTCACCTTTATTTTACTGGAACAGGAATCGAATGCTACTATGGAAACGATTGTTATTCATATAAATATGCTCTTTATTCTTGGGCTTCGACCTGAAATCATAATATAGGACCCATACTGCACATTCTTTCAGTTTGTTCATAAGTGTGCTCGCTAAAATTCTTCATAATATCAGATTGATTGCGTTTTGAAACATCTTAGAGGCTAGAGTCCCTCCTTAACTTACATACTGTATGTTGTAAACCAGAATCAGTTAGTTGTAATCAATACATGCTGTTTGGTAAATAGTGGATAAACCTTGTCCTTTCTGTCGTTTCCTTGTACATGACCCAGTTGCCCTTTAAGGGATGTTGAAGAGCAGTGCTGGAATGCCAGATGACTGTCTGTGTCTCCTTTCTGACCTTACTTCTCCTCCTCCTGCAGTACCGCCAGTAACTCTCCACGCAGTACTCCTGGCAGCTCGCCCTCCCTGCGCCGCCGTGTGCTGGGAGGAAGAGCCAGTGAAGGGGAGACTGGCGGGGGCAGAAGCGGAGGGGGTTCAGAGAGCCCCCTGCCTCCCACTCCCTCCTCATCCACCTCCTCCTACCCGCTCGCAGCCCGACACTTCACCCGCAATGCCAAGGTAAGCCACGTTCTCGCCTGGTGAGATTAGTTAATGGTCCTCACTCTAAATGTCTGAGTATCATCTGAATGTCTGATATGATGGGTGCCTGCTCTTCCACCCACATACTGAGCGCTGTATTGCTGTTCTGTTCTGAATGATGCCTCCTACTCCCTCCTCATCCACCTCCTCCTACCCGCTCGCGGCCCGACACTTCACCCGCAATGCCAAGGTAAGCCACGTTCTCGCCTGGTGAGATTAGTTAATGGTCCTCACTCTAAATGTCTGAGTATCATCTGAATGTCTGATATGATGGGTGCCTGCTCTTCCACCCACATACTGAGCGCTGTATTGCTGTTCTGTTCTGAATGAATAAGGCAGGAAGAATGCAAGTGTTGCAAACATTTATTTAGAAATTGTTCTGAAAGATAAAAAAAATTTTAAACAGGTCCTAGTTAACACAAGCATTTTACTTCTGTAATGTGACATATTTCTTTATAATATTTATAAATAAGGTTATAATATCAAGTCCCATCCAACGCTTCACTAAGATTTTTGAAAGAAGTCTGTTATGCTCACCGAGGCTGCGTTTATTTGGCTAAAAATGCAGTGAAAACAGTAAAATGGTGACATATTATTGCAATTTAGAAACTTTCTATTTGAATTCATTTTAAATTGTAATTTATTCCTATGATGGCAAAGTTAAATTTTCAGCAGCCGTTACTCCAGTCTTCAGTGTCACATCACCCTTCAGAAATCACAAATAAGTTTTAATTTTCTTTTGACCAGTAGTGTACATCACGGATTGATTAGGCATGAAGAATCTGCATTGGATATTCAGGTTTGCAGTCAGTATCCTGAAACACAGACAGCGTGCACTGGTTGAAACATATGTGAATTTTAATTTTTTTATATCTTTTTTTTTTTTTTGGAATAATACGCACTTATGAATTGTGCACAGTAAGACAGATAACAATCATTAAAAAAGAAAATAGGGTAGGGTCCATTTTGATTGTTCACTTTAAACTGAGCTTGTACATGTTCATGCAATTAATGTAATCTTTAAAAAATAAAAATGGAAATCAAGACCCTTATTCATCTTTTCCTCTTTGTTTCAGAAAATGCAGAGCTGGTATAATGTAAGTATCCTGGGGTCTTGGCAAGTTCACGCCTCTGTGTTTTTGCTTTAGCTGACCGTGCTGGTTTCCTCCGCTCATATCTCTGTCTGATATATAGGTTCTGAGCCCTACGTACAAACAGAGGAATGAAGACTTCCGTAAACTCTTTAAAAAGCTGCCTGATACAGAGCGTCTCATAGTGGGTGAGTGTCACTACTTCATGAGTAAAGCCAAGGAACGTAATGAGTGATATTATTTTAAGCACAGCACAGTGTGATGATCACATGGCCTCTGGTTGTGTTCATTTTATGTTGTTTTCTATCTAGACTACTCATGTGCACTGCAGAGGGACATTCTACTCCAGGGCCGTCTCTACCTGTCTGAGAACTGGCTCTGCTTCTATAGTAATATCTTCCGATGGGAGACTACGGTAACCCTCACTTTACTGAAAACATTGACTTTTGCTGTAACAACTAATTGATAATGATCAATATTGAAAATAATCAACAATAATTTGCATAATCTAGTAGCTGGTAAATGTCATGTCAGTCAGATGAAGTGCAACAAAAAATGTGTGCATTTGTTTGAATCAAAACAATATTTGTTGTTTAACATCAAATTAAGTCAAACTTAACATCCTATATGCAATTAGTAAAACTTTATATATTAGTTTTTTTTTAAATATTATTAGTTTAAAATAACTGTTTTCTTCTTTAACATATTTTAAAATGTAATTTATTCCTGTGATTGCAAAGCTGAATTTTTAGCAGCCATTACTCAAGAAATCATTCTAATATGCTGATTTGACATGTTGAAACATTTTGCTTCTCAATGTTGAAAACAATTGTGTTGCTTAATATTTTGTGTTTTTTTTTTTTCAGGATTCTTTGATTTAGAAAGTTCAAAAGAACAGCACATTTTTCTTTTGTAACATGAAAATCTTTTACAACATGAATGATTTTACTGTCCATTGCTGAATAAAAGTATTAATTTCTTACTTACCCAAAACATTCACATGGTAGTTCATAGATATTAATTAGCATATTTGTGCAACCTTTAGTCTGATCCATTAGCTGAGGTAGACATCATTTATAAATCCTTTATATTCGTTCTCTCTGTAAATATCACCAGATAACCATACTGCTGAAAGATGTGACCAGTCTGACCAAGGAGAAGACGGCCAAGCTCATCCCTAACGCCATCCAGATAAGCACTGAACATGAGAAGGTACCGCGCTGCAGACATTGGATATGCATGCTAAAATTACCATTAATGGATTTCTTTTGTTAGCTGCATTTTGAACCTCCTAAGACAATAAATGTTCTGCCTTGATTAAAATCCGATCTTGCATTCGTCAGCACTTCTTCACATCATTTGGGGCAAGGGATCGCAGCTACATGATGATCTTCAGACTATGGCAGAATGCACTGATGGATAAGGTGAGAATTGCACTAGTGACAGACAGTGCACATTTTATCTGTATAAAAGACACAACCATTTGAAGTCTCCTGTCAGAATCAGTGCTGTGTATTTGTCGGTGTGTAGACAATTTCATTTGGCAGGTGACCAACATTGCTTGGCGATTGTCCATTATAATTAGCACCTGGCAAGATGCAGGTGGTGACTACAGATACAGATCTGTTAGAACTGAATAACTGAATAAAGGTTCTGCAGCTTATATTGTTGCAACTAACATTCAACAACTGCTACGTCTGGAATGTTTTCTTGTAGTTTAAGTTTTAGTTAAAAAATAAACTATCTTAAAATCATTCAACAGTAGGTTATTATTTTTAGATAAAACTCTAAACTCCAAACTCTAGTAAGTTGCCTTTCAAGGCAGCATTTTTAAGCTAATTCCAGAACGCATTGTAGTTGAAACTTCAAACAGAGTCAGTGGGAATGTTGATTATAAATATACTTTATTATTATTAAAATAGCTAAATACAATCTGCAATTAAAATGAATATAACTAATTTTTAAAAAATCCTGTCGTTTTTACAGAAAGAAACTGGCCGTTGTGGTTGCCAGAATAATTCTCTAAAAATACAGCAAAAAATGTAAACATCTTTACAAAGCAACCTGCATATTTTACAGTTTAACATTGTTATTTACAAAAATATATATATATTTACGTTTTTACGTAATTGTTTATAGGTTTTCTAATAATATTAAATAACTATATTTATAAGTTTTTCAGTTATTTATTAGTTTTTCACCATTTGATCTGTTAACCAATTAACAGTTTTTTTTTCTGTAGAATTTTTACAATGTTTTACATTTAAAATTAAAATATATATTTTTTTACATTGTACTATTTCAACCAATTTTGCCTTATGCATGATTTTTTATTTTTTTTTGGCCTTATTACGCTAGTAGCTAATAGCTTTAACAAACTGATTTATATCATGAAATGGTGCTTTAAAATTTTAAATGCTGTGTCACCACCTCTGCTGCCTCACAGAAATTGTGTTGATGCAGTTTTTAGCCTGGAAGTGCCCTGCACCGAGGTTTCTACTGGAAGTGCTGAGATTATATTTCTCCTCCACAGACTCTGTCTCCTAAAGAGCTATGGCACATCGTTCACCAGTGTTACGGCACTGAGCTGGGGCTTACTAGTGAAGATGATGACTATGTCTCCCCTACTGCTGAACATATGAATGGCCTGCTGTGAGTCCACACTGAGAGGAATCTGTTTATGAAATTTATGTTTATTAAATTTACCTTAGAACACAAGGACAGACAGAAGGCATATATACAGTGTACCATGTTATTACCCATCTATCTATATTTTATTTTATTTAGTTCAAGAAGGCCATATTATGTACATTACTAGAATTTTATTTTTAATTCAATTTACCAAAAGGACACTGTGTACCTGTGTTTATTTATTCCGTTTTATTTTATTAAATTTATCTTAGAACACAAGGGAAAACAAATGTCATGAAAGCTGAATGTGTACATGTATCTATCTATATTTTATTTTAGTTTTTAAAATAAAAAAAGGCCATAGTATATAGATTGCTCTCATTTTAATTTTTCCCTCTAAAGTCCACTTAGAATACCAGTAGGAAAGCATTTTAGTTTTGCATGACAGTTTTCCTCCCTCTCATTGATCCTTGGCTTTAAATGTACAGTTTTTGCTTCTGTACCTTCAGGCTTATATAAGTTTCTCTGCTTACTGCATAATTTGCTGTCATTGCTGCCAAGTTGATAAATACTGAATGGTTGAAATGTAAACATTGTTGACATGTCAGTGTTTTTGCTGCTTTGGTCAGGGAGTTCTGAGTTCTGTACATTAGACTATGACAACCCTGACGCTTACATCTGTCTGTTTCTGTCCTGTAGGCCAGGCGAGGAGCCGGTCTCCGTCACTGACCTGCTGGATCTGGGATCAGTGCCGGTAGCTCCGGTGGACTCCTCTCCACCCTCATCTGCCTCAGTTCTTCCCTGCGCTTCAGGATCTTCACCTCCATCCTCCTCTTCCTCTTCCTGCCAGCCTGTGGAGTTGCCGTCTACTCGGACCAGCATCGAACCTGAGCCCAGTCCACCCAGCTCCCAGAACTCACTGCTCCCCACCACAAACACTGGAACTGCCCCGTCCTCAACTGTAAGCGTCAACCTACTGTGAAATACCTGAGTGGTTACACTCAAAGAACATTACAATGGAATTACGTTTTAACAATAACAGCACTGGTTTGAGAGTGTTTATTCTTTTTATAGATCTTGGAGGAAGGCGGGGACAGCCAGTCAGAATCGGCCAATCAGTCACTTCAGTCTCCTCCCACTGTCCCGCACAGCCTGGGATACCTCTCCTCACTGGATATGACCAATGATGAGGAGCTCCCAACTGACCCCAGCAATTCCTCTGACACTCAGGAAGAGAGTGAGTGCTTGTAAATCCTCCTTGTTTCTCACAACAAACTGTGACCTTAATTTCTCAGATTAAAACAAAAGATTGAAAAAATTTGAAACCACTCTCTCTATAGAGTAGATAAATATGCGTCAAATAGCTATGTCCTTGATAAGGAGTCAGACTGGTTCATTTTAACACATCTAATATCCACAGGTGAGGTGGAGTCCTTCTGTGCGGACCTCAGCGGCCGGCTGCATATCAACACAGTTGTTCGCATGAGCGTGGACAAGCTCCACGACCTTCTGTTCTCAGACATTCACTTCATACAGCACCTCTTCTCACAACGTCACTTCACTGGTCAGTTCAGATTTAAAACTGCCATTTTGTAGCTGATTTTGCTACTTCTACATCATTGCATTTTTCATTTTCCTACTGTTGCATTCTGTTTCCCTTCAGCATACTTATTTAAATACTGCCCCTAGTCGACTGGAGTTCCTGCTTGCATTTAATCATTGACCGTGTTGTTGGCTGTTCTATGCATGGCTGGTTTCTGCTGTGTTGTTACTGCTTTTTCCTACAGATTTCAGATCCCATGTGTCCTCTTTCTCCCCTCCCCTTTGCTCTTTTCATGCTGTTTGTCCTATAGGGCCCTTTGGGGCGGATAATGAGAGCTTGACTATTTGGTTTCGCTGTGTTCTATATAGCATAAAGTACCAGTCTCATTCTTTTTTTCTTGGTAACTTTATCTGCTTTGTACAGTAAATGATGTCAAACTATTTATGGTAGATCAAGGAATGGTAGCCTGGATAGCACAGTGTGAGAAGTATTTTTTTTCACGTGCTGAGCTTTGTTTGTTGTTTGCATGGATAATTGCCCCCTTCCCTGTGCCGCTTGAAGTGCTCTGACTGTAATCATCCACCCTTCTTTTTCCCTGTCCTATAACTGTTCTTTTCCTCTTTCTGGCCTCTCTCTCTTTCATGTGATTGGTTCAGATCTTTCTGTGCACGAGTGGCAGCAGGACAGCAGCAGTGGGAACAGCAGTAGAGTTCTGAGTTACACCATCGCCATCAACAACCCGCTGGGCCCAAAAACTGCTCCTGTGGTAGACACACAGGTGGGTCCATGCAGCTCTTTTGCTTTGATTGCCTTCATTCTTATTAAAGTGAAAGTTCACGAAAAAATGAACGTTTTGTCATCATTTACTCATTTTGTTCCAAACCTGTATGCATTTCTTTTTGCAAAACAGAAAGAAAGATATTTTAACACTTTTTTGTTTTTGTGATTATGATAAAAATTTCAATTGAGATTTAAAATGCATTTTTTAAACAGTTCCAGGTTTGCTGTGGTTGTTTGTAGAGCAGTTCTGATTTGATTTGCTGAAAAATTTTGATTATATATATCAATATGACTATAAAATAATAATTGTTAATATTAATAATTAATAAAACAAATAAGAAATGTTACTGTTGTCATGCTTTTAAATTTTTATAATTTTTTATACCTTTTTTTAAATCATTTTTTAAGAGTTACAGATTTTCTGTTCTTTTTAGTAGGGCTGCACAGTTTGTCCAAAAATTTATTGTATATCAATATGACTAAAATATGATTATTGTTATTATTATTGATAAATTTAAAAAAAACAAGGATTATTACTATTGTAAAGCTATTTCACTAAAATAAAAAAAAGTATTTAAGAAAAATAATATAATAATAATCATAATTATTTTATTTAACAACATAACTATAGAACGGCTGCTTTAATTTCTTCTTTTTCAAACATTAAACCACTAAGTTTTTTAATATGGTGAAAAACAGCAGAGAGCCCTTAAATAATCTCTTTTTTTAATTAAATCACAGCCTTTGTGATTTGGTAATATTGTGATTTCATTTTTATTTTGATTAATCATTCAGCCCTAGTTGAAATTAGTTAATGTTAGATTTACATGGTTTATATAGAACAGCAGTTCCACCTCTAAAATGACAATTTAGCCACCTTTACAGCTCTAATAACACATATAAACATAAAGTGCTTAAAAAAATACAAGCTACATATTTCTGCTTTTTTATATTTACAAATGCTCAAGACTTCCTTGATTTTTGTTTTTACAGATTGAGGCATTTTTTAAATCACAGCCTTTGTGATTTGGTAATATTGTGATTTCATTTTTATTTTGATTAATCATTCAGCCCTAGTTGAAATTAGTTAATGTTAGATTTACATGGTTTATATAGAACAGCAGTTCCACCTCTAAAATGACAATTTAGCCACCTTTACAGCTCTAATAACACATATAAACATAAAGTGCTTAAAAAAATACAAGCTACATATTTCTGCTTTTTTATATTTACAAATGCTCAAGACTTCCTTGATTTTTGTTTTTACAGATTGAGGCATTTTTAAACAAAGCTTGTACTGAACCCAGTACTCCTTTAATGATGGTTTTGTGTATTTTGTCATGTTGTGCAGACTCTCCACAAGAGCAGCACCCGGGGGGAGTGTTACGTGGTGGACTCGGAGGTCATAACCTCAGGCATCCCCTACCAGGACTACTTCTACACTGTACACAGATACTGCCTCACCTCTGTCAACAAGCACAAGAGCCGCCTCAGGTAGAACTTCCTGACCATTGTTATGTGCGTATTGTTATGCTTCAAACGCAAACACTGCTGAGGGACCCATTGTGTGTTTGTCTGCAGGGTCTCGTCTGATATCTGCTACAGAAAGCAGCCGTGGAGTCTTGTGAAAGCTCTCATAGAGAAGAACACTTGGAGCGGCATTGAGGAGTATTACAGACACATGGGTAAATAGGTTCTCATCTCAATGCGAATATTTGTTGTGACATTGGTACTAAAAATCACCCCCTGCGTTCCTCGTCAGAGATGGAGGTGTGTAAGCTGGAGACGCTGTTACAGTCGGAGATTTCTGTAGTGAGCACCGGGGAAGTGCCTTCTGCGGACTCTGCCAAGACGCCACCCGGCCTGCGCAGACGCAAACGCAACTGTCCCAGACGAGCAGGAGAGCGGGAGAGAGAAAGAGAGAGAGCGGGAGGAGGTGCCGGGGAACGGGGCGACCGAGGAATTGGAGTTGAGCGTGAAAGGAGAGAAGCTGGTGAGTCAGTCCACGCAAGGGAGCACCAGAAAGGATTTTTGTCAATTCTGATTTGCGCGACCATGTGGAATGTGTTGACATCTAGTGGTGGATTGTGGAATTGCTTTTACTAGACTAATCAGGGATGTGATTTTTCCGTATTTATACAGATTTCCGTAATTTCTGACCTCAGAAGTATGAACCACGTAAATTAAATTAAATCTGAGGGGAAAAAAAGACAGAAATTGAGACCATCAATTTTAGCATTGTAATTTTACTGCTGTTCTGTAAAATAAATTATATTGTTATTTTTATTAAATGCTAAATTTTACTTTACAGTACAATACTATTATTGCAATAGTAATATGTCTTTCATTTTTTTTTATAATTTAAACATTTTATAAAATTAATATTTTTTATAAAAATATTTTAATATATGATAATGATAACAATAATAACATTATGCTTTTACTGGAATAAAAAGATGTGTGAATTTTTCGACCTGAGAAGTATGACCAACGTGATTTGTGTAAATTTGACTAAAAAAAAAAAATTCTTGGTAATATAAAGAACAGCTCTATAGTTTTAATGTCATAAATAGTTGTATCATAATTTTACTACTGTTCTATAAAATAAATTATTATGATTATTATTATTGTTAAATACTTTAAAAAATATTACAGTAATAGTATGTCTTTATTGATTTATAATGAATAATCATGTAATTTAATAAAGTAAAACTAATATTTTGTATAATAATATTTTAGGTTTTCCTTTTGTAAATTATGTATTTAAATTTTACTATTTAATATTTAAATATTAAATTATATTTATTTAGCCATAAATATTACTATTGTAATTTTACTGTTGTTCTGTTAAATAAATAATGATAATAATAATAATAATAATTAATTTGTATAAAATTAAAAAATGTATAGTAAATTATAGGGCTGGGCAAAAAAATAGATTTTTCGATATATCGTTTTTTAAAATGTGGTCGATTCAATATCGATTCTCAAAGGCCACGAATCGATTTTTTTCAATATTTATTTCCGCAAACATTGAACATAAGATTTATGTTAATCTTATTACTAGTCTAATCCACTAGATGTCACCCCCTTATTTGCCTTGCGGGACGGACCAGCTGCATTTAAATGTAAGGAGTTCATCTACGTTCCTTTTCAAGTGTACTTAAATGTTAGAGGCTGCCTATAAAACAGTTATTTACTTTGGTAATGATGATTATGGTGTAGACGACTGTCATAATGATTATGGCAATTACACTGTACAATTAGTGGTGTTGAATTAACACCCGTAATTCAGAAGTAACTTTTTTTGAACTATCACCCAAAAGCCAGTATTAGTTTTCCTACACCGTTCATAGGCTTGCAGCCTCCATGTTACAGCTAATGCTGTGAGATTTTATGTTTGTTTTGTCTTAAACATAAAATAACCTGATCCTGTTTGATCAAGGCATGCGACTGTTCTGACTTGTCCAATTTTCAGCATCAGTTTTTCATCTTGCATCAAAATTCTGTCTATTCATTGTATGCATTTGAAATATAGTTGGGTTTTGTTTTATTGTACCCAAGTGTACCTAAAATAAAAAGTGTTTAATATACAGGTTTGTGGCTCTTAATTTCCTATTAATTAACCATTTGTAATCTTATGTTCACTGTTCATTTTTTATAAATATAGGATTTGTATTAAATCTATATTCATTCATATAGTCAAATCGAATCGAGAATTGAAATCAAGAATCGAATCGAATATCGAATCGAAATCGAATCGAAAATCGAAATCGAATCGAATTGAGAGCTTGAAAATCGAAATCGAATCGAATTGGAACATCTGAATCGATACCCAGCCCTAGTAAATTACTAATATTGCAATAGTAGTCTTTGAATTGTTCAATAATTATATAATAATTGTATATAATATATAATTCAGGTTTTCTTTCTCTTCCTTTTTCCTTTTCTGATCACATGCCTGCTAATGAGTCATTTTCCTGTTCTCCAGGTGCTCAGTATGTGCAATTAGGGGAAAGGTGGCGTGGAGCCGGCAACAGCAACAATAGCATCTCCACCATCCTGCTCATCGTGAGCTTCATGTGAGTGTTTTCACCTTTGGCAGTCTGTAAATATTACTCTGTATGCATTAGTAATTTCAACATTTACACAAACCGCTGTATCATCAGATGAACAAAATTCAATCTGAGCTCATTGAGACTGCCAGGTTGTCATCACTACAGTAGTGGCTTCTTTTTCTGCACATTAAGCTCGGCTCTGATTTCTCAAGAGCAGAACCGTAATGATGACTGCCTCATTGGACGACACGTTTTGATAATGTTCATTTTTAAGATCAGCGTGAAGCCTATAAATCATTTCATCACAAAAAAATTAAATTCTGTCATATTTTACTCGTGTCCTCATGTCATTTGAAGCCTGCATGGGTTTTTATCTTCTGTGTAACACAAGAAGACATGTTTAGCAGAATTTTCCTGCTGCATTTTTCTGTACAATGAAAGCAGATGGGGACTGGGGCTTTCACTGTACGGTTTTTCAGTAAAATTCAGTATATTTTTAGAAAGCTATCATACAGCTTCAGAAAACTTGGAATAAAGCATACAAGTCATATAGACTACTTTTTAGAGCATAGCATCTCCAGTCCCCATCCACTTTCATTGTATAAAAAAAGAACAGACTAGACATGCTACAAAATATCTTCTTTTGGGTTCCACTGAAGAAATGAGTATATGATATACGAGTGAACTATCCCTTTAAACACACTTAACACTTTTCCGTGCATAGTAATATCACATTCTGGTTAGTGTGTTTTTCTGTTCCTCCTTTCTTTCGCGTCCTAATATGTCTCCTTGCTGATCCTCTCTCTCTCTCTCATCTCGCTTTACTCGCTTCCTCCTGCATATAGGATCTGTGTCAGGTAGAGACTGTCTTTGTACTTCAAGAAAAACGCACACACACTTTTTCATGACCGGATTACCATTGCTATTACATCATTGAGCATAGACGACTATATTGAAATCTCTTCTCTCATCTTCCTTCAGTCTGGTGGTTCTGGTGGCTCTGAACATGATGCTGTTCTACAAACTCTGGGCGCTGGAGCGGGCCGCACACACGCTGGAGACCTGGCACTCGTACTCTTTAACGGACAGGTATGGTAAAACTAATTGAGTAGCTGTACACACACGCTGCTTTTCAGCATGCTGATTCGGTACTCTTTCTCTCCGCAGTCCTCTTCCGCAGACGGCAGGAGAGTGGGTGCAGATCCTCCAGCTCCAGAGGCAGTTCCACCAGGCCCAGATAAACAAATGGCATCAGATCCTACAGTCTTCTGTCACACTTCTGGATCAGGTGTGTTCCTGAGCTGAACTTAAGATGTCGAAACGTTTCATTTGCTGAAAACAAATTAGAAGTAATAACAATCTGTCTGTCAATCAGTCTGTGAATATTTAGTCTTTTTATTACTCTTTCTTGAGATTGGAAGTGCACATTTTGTTCTATAATTCTGTAATGACTCAGAAAAATGACTAGAAATCGTGACCAGAATAGATAACATGACCAGCACATCAACACTTTTGTAATGTTTTTCAGTATTGGGTACTTTTTTAGAAGTTAAAGGCAACACAAAATTGATTTTGCGGTGCATTTATTAAGGGATAATGTTGGTCATTTTTGGTCATGATATCTAAAAGACATCTCAGAGGTAGAGAAGGATTCATTTGTTTCTGGAATAATAAATTCAGTGACAGAATGAAAACAGTTCTGGCTTCTTTGACAGAAATTTCTTCTGTCCAACAAAGTCATTGAAGTTTCATACTTGTTACCCAGTAAATTAATAGCTGGATCAGTGGTGTCACTAAAGTGTCAAAAACCCCTTAAAAAACAGACCTGTATGAACAGGCTGGAGCGACTAACCAGCTTAGGCTTAGGATATTGGCTTTTAATATCTATAGCAATGATAAACTGTGTGCAAATGAGACAAGGTACATTTCTTATGAAAGTAAAAAGGGTTATTTTGATTTCCTCTTTCATGTAGATGAAACAGTCTCTGGAGAAGCTCCACAGAGTAATGATCACACCAGAGGTGAAGCATGAGTCTGAATCAGAACCAGGAACTCTGACGGATCAGTGAGAGCGTAAGGTAACCCCTTCACCCTACCGTTTACAGACTCTGGTCCCCGTGACATAGCCGTCCACGAGGGGCTAAATCATGGACGGGAGATGGTGCTCAACTCAGTGACATTAACATTGGGATTGATGTGGGTATCTTTTATCTTACCCAAGTGTCCCAACAGCAGCTACAGGACTTTATACTAGCTGTATATAACACATTCAACTCTTTTATCAATCGGAATATCATGAACTCTGGGTCTGAAGCAATAACACACATGAACGGGAGCATCTGTGACTTCAGCTGTGCTGCATCTTGAGCCGTTTGGTCCTACTGCGTGTCTGAAAAAGCTGAAGGTGAGCTTTTAGAAAACTGAATTTCATCAAAAAAGAGCTGTTAAAGATTTCAAAGAGGGAAGTGTCTGAAATCAGCTTCTGAGAAACCTCTCAACTGGTCATTTCACAAATGTTATTTTAATGTTTTCATGGAAGAGAAATGTAAATTTTCTCTTGTGTTATGTTACTGTTTTGCTGATTTCAGAGCTGAAACTGAAACTTCTTTAGAGTGTGTCAGACCATTACAGTATTTATTTAATAGACTTGAATTACAGTCTAACGTCATTGTGTGTTTCTGCTCAAACAAGGACCAATGTGGAAATGGGTGGAACGAGTGGTATTAATATGAATTCCCATTTTAGCAATAATCATGTGGAAAATTGTAATGACAATTAGAAGTTAATCTACAAGAAAGAATGCAAAAAAAAAGTCAAATGTGCAACTGTTACTTAGGGTAGAGTTCCAGAGTGAAGATTGTTTTTACACACTTACATGGTTGGTTACAATAGTTACAATTTTAACCATTTCTTCTTTCTCCCTAATATTTTGGTTATTATTTTTGTTTTAAATTCCTGTGTATGTATGACTTAGGGGTGAAATGAGCTCTTTTGTGTAGTTGAGGTGTCGAGTTTCACTGGAATCAAACTTGAACTGTTCAGGGTTACTGTTAGCTTATATAGCTTATATTAGCTATAACATGTACACAGATCGAAGAACTTCAGTCGTTCCTCAGACTGGACATTTGGGACCAACCAGAACTCAGGAGGACTATTGTGAGTTCACTCAACACTGTAGGCCAGTCTCATACAGAACATGTCTGTGTGTTTCACCTCAAAATCAAAAGAAAATAGAAAGATTAGATTTTTATTTATTTGTTTTATTTTTATTTTTTTTTGCATTGTGCCAATTTCATGGCAGTTAAGCACACCTCACAATTTTCATTTTTTATTAATTTTATCTATGATTTTCACTGATGTAATAATGAAAATCATCCTGTGCAGACCATTATTATTTTACATTAAAATTAGCATAATTTAGAAACCATAAAACAAATACTGTCGAGTGGTATAAATAAAATATATTATTTTATTATCCTCAATAATGGGAATTGAAATAAAAAATGTCACAATGCAGAAAAAAAGTATTGATTTTAATGTGAAATATGATGTGCATGTTCTTTGTGAGATTCACCAAGAGGCTATGAGTTGGATTTTTTATATTTTTTTTGTCCTGTTTCATCAGTTTCATTTGGACAGTCTGTTACTGATGTCCCCTGTCAAGCCATTTCATTTCTGTCCCTGTATTTGTGGCCTCACTCTGTCGTGCCCTTCAGCCTCGGAGAACTCTCCCTCCTCGGAGTGTGTTATTATCGGAGTCTGTCTGTCTGTCTGCGGGCGCTGCTGTGCAAAGCCCTTACTAAGTGATGAAAGCATGTGCTATTTATTCGGGTCAGGGAGGGAGAGAGCGAAGGTGGGATGTATTGTATAGACACAATTGTAAAGGCGACTTGTGACAGTCACAAATGTTTCATAAAAAATGCCAAAAAAATTTAATATTATGCGTGTATTACTGATTGGATAATTTCCTTTTTTCACAGGTTAATACTTTCTGAGCAGTGGGAAAGTTGGTATGATTATGATTTTGTATGCTCATTGCTCGTGTTATTGGTGCTAAATTATCATTAGTGATCCTTATTAATGTTGCAAATTTTTTTAAGGGATTCTTTAAATATAAAGTCCAATGAACGGTGTTTTAAAAAAAAAAGTGAAATTATAATTGTCTACTGTAGTGTCACCTTTGACCAATTTAATGTCCTTGCTAAATGAAAGTATACTTTTTTTTTTTTTTTTACTCACCCCAAACTTTTGAATGGTAGTGTATCATGATTTCCACCCAAAAAAAGTTAAGCAGCAAAAAAATTGTTTATAACATTGAAAAATAAGAGATGTTTCTTGAGCAGCAAATCAGCATATTAGAATGATTACTGAAGGATCATGTGACACTGAAGACTGGAGTGATGAATCTGAAAATTCAGCTTTGCCAACAGAGGAAGAAATGACATTTTAAAATTGATTTTAATAACAAATCTTCCTGAAATTGTATCCGTATTTCAGTTTTACTGTTTTTGCTGTATTTTCCTATATGATGGACCCTTAATCTTTTGATAAAATCAATGCATGCAGGTCAAGAGAGGAAGGTTTCAGAAGACACATCAGCTGTATTTTTAAACGTATTTTATTATATACTATCTTGTCCATAATTTTATTTGGCAAGCAACATTTTCACTTCAACATGAAATTGATGATGGAATTGTTGCGGCCGTTAGGTTACTGTACAGACTCCCTCAGAGGTGCAGACATTGTCAGACAGTGATGATATTCTGTGACATCTAAGTGTTAGTACGATACCATCAATGTTGTAATCACAGCAGCTGTGGAGTTAACGAGAATGAAATGGATCCGGTGTTACAACTGTGTCAGTGTTTATGACGGTATTCATAAAAGCGTATTTAAAATCATGCAGTAGAAATCTACCAATTTAACACCCACCGAATGAAAGATATAAAAAGTAAGAAAACCAGAGCTGGGAAGTCTCAAGAATGTTCATTCATGCATAAAGGCAGTGAGACTTTGGCAGTGTTGTGCTGCCCTCTGTAGTCACTACCAGAAATTGGCTACTAAGAGGGAGAGGAAAGACTGGAAGCTTGTGAATGAATACAATTGATTCCTGCTTTCTAGTTCCGTTTTCTTTTGAAATCGTCATGCACGAAGAGCCAGAGGCTTAAACATCGTTCCTACAGGAGGCACACTTGAAACTTGAAGTCATTCTCAATCGATTTCATGCAGCCCTTGAATATCTTGTCAGCGAAGACAAAAAGAAAAGGGGAGGAACTGTGAGGCAAACATGAGAAATGATCCTCTACGGCACATTGTTAATAATATATTTATCACATTAGTTTCGGTTGCTGAATTCGGCTATGAATCTTACACAACAATGCACTTTTCTGACGCCTGTGATATTAACATGTGACATTCTTTTGCTTCTCTATTATTTCTTTTAAGAGAATGATTTGAATAGTTTTATACGCTACTCACAATGTCTGCTTTTTTTTTCCCAGAACAGATATTTTGTGCTTTATAATGCTAAAAATCTTTCCTATTTAATACCAAGCCAGTAAAGACTAAATAGTGGGTGCTGGTCATGATGTTTTGTAGATGCAGTGACAATTTGAGTGAGCTATTACATATCAGTGAGAAAAGTTATGGTTAGCTTACCAGTGGTTAGTTGAGTTTGTTCTGGTTCAAATCCCCTGTACGTGACAGGTGCAATTTTCTTATTCTTCTTCTTTGGAGTTTTTTGCCGTATTCTGCACCATAGGCAGGTGCAGTTTTCAGACAGGAAGCTCTTCTTGTAAATGTGCGTTAAAGGGTTAGTTCACCCAAAAATGAAAATTAGCCCACAAATTACTCACCCTCAAGTCATCCTAGGTGTATATGACTTTCTTCTTTCAGACGAATCCAGTCGGAGTTATATAAAAAATTGTCTTTGATGTTTCAAGCTGTTTAATGCCACTCAGCCGTGCATCACTTCTGAGCGGCGCATGCGCAAAGCTGACCTCATACGTCATCCACCCGGAGCTGCTTCCGTGTAGGACTGTCGTCTGAAAGAAGAAAGTCATATACACCTAGGATGACTTGAGGGTGAGTAATTTGTGGCCTAATTTTCATTTTTGGGTGAACTAACCCTTTAATAGTTGTTGGCATTCGCTATGTAAGGCTAATCACAGTCCCCAGCTGCCAAACATGAGATGTTATGATTTCTCTATATATTAGATGTGTAACGGTACATAAATATCAGGCTCGGCAAGTACTTCGGTTTTGAAGTCATGATGTCATGAGCAATTTTACTCAACGTAACGCTGCTCTTTTTAATAAACAGTGCTTTACTGAACAAACCAGACAGTTCTGTTAGGAAAAAAATCGTGATGCACTTTATGGTTTTGTTCTAAAGAAGGGAAGAAATTTGAAGCGCTTCCTCTTTTGGAACATATTTTAGCAAAATGTATATTTTGGTCAGAATTATTGCACTGTCACGCTGTCTGTTTGACATTTACAGATTAAGATGTAAGTTATGCTGATGTAAACAGGTCTTCAATGCCTTAAACAGCACATCTGACAGACGAGTTAGTTTGAAGCTCTCAATTTTAAGAATTTTCGCTACAAATATGTGTACCGTTACACTCCTAATATATATAGGCTATAACTAAGTTTATATTTTATTATTTTTCTATTTATTGATATGTATTTTTGATCTTTAAATAATGATATAAATAGATATGTTTTCACATATTCTATTTGACAGTTCTTATGTTTTTTTTCTCTCTGACTCAGTAAATATACTAGTGATTTTTATACACATTATATAATATGTTGTGATGTCCTCTGGCTCAGTAGATATACTGTGGTGACCGTTTTATCCAAGTAAAGCTGAGTTTTCATTATGTGGAAACAGCAAAGAGATGTTAAAAGCTCAAACACGTATGTAGAAGTCAAGTTCAGTGTTCTGTTCAGCGTTACAGATTCATGCTTGAATCAATGAATGCATCATTCATTCGTTAACCTCAAAGTTGTCATCTGTCATCTAGAGCCTTAAAACAAAACATTTCCTTTTTATGTAATGTGTGACTGTGTGTTTCCCTGATGGTTTAGAATGGCGGTTCTGTCACAGTCGTACACAAAGGTCAAAACAGCGACCCTGCGGTTTCACAGAGAGCCGGTGAGGGTGACCGAGGAGGCCATTGGTGATGCCATGATGGACAGAGCGTCAAGCTTTTGGCTTGAGACTTTTTTTGGACCTGAAATGAAACAAAAGGCAGATTGTTAAACTGACTTGTAATTCAGAAAAGTCCAGATGTGACCATAATAGTTACATTTAACTAACCCACCTGTGTTATTCTGCCACCGCTACACCTGCAGAATTATCTTTGTTCTCCGAGGTTATAGCTAAATATTCCGCCCTAAGAGAACGGAAGGAGGGAAAGAAAGGCAGAAGGGACAGAAAAGGTAATGAAGAAAAGGACAGCAACGAGAACTTGAAAGGTTTTGAGAACAGCAGCTTGCAGAAAATTATAGATCTGTTTAAGATTGAGGGAAATATAGTTTTGAAGGAAGAAAAGCAGTGAAACTAGAGGTGGAAATGTAAATGTATTTTTTTTTTTTTATCCATAAAATTGATGTTTTAAGGTTTTCAGTGCATGTTTATTAGCTTTGAAGACAGCTGAGACAGCTTTTCACTTCACAAGATTTTAATTAATGGACTGGAGTCTTGTGGATTATTGTGATGTTTTTATCAGCTGTTTGTGCTCTCATTCTGACGGCACCCATTCACTGCAGAGGATCCATTTGTGAGTAAGTGATGTAATGCTAAATTTCTCAAAATCTGTTCCGATGAAGAAACTCATCTCATCTACATCCTGGATGGCCTGAGGGTGAGTACATTTTCAGTAAATTTTCATTTTTGGGTGAACTTTTCCTTTAAAAACAATGGTTTTCTCAGCATTGCCACAGAAGCACCAATTTTGGTTCCCCAAAGAACCTTTCAGAGAAACGTTTCTTGGTGTGAAGAACATTTTAAAAATCTAAAGAGCATTTTTCCATTATGAAGAATCTTTTGTGGAATGGGAAGGTTCCATGGATGTTAAAGGTTCTTCATTGAACCATTGATGCCAATAAAGAACTTTTATTTTTAAGAGTGTATAAGCTATTTGCTAAGTTAGCAAAATTAACTTTTACTATATAAACTCTACAGACTTCCTTGTCTGTTTAGGGTGGTATACAAATACACCCTTCATATGTTTCGTCCATATTTCCTGTTTTAATAGGACATCCCTAAAGGTCCCTAATAAGGCAGACAGGTGTTTGTTATTAAGGAAGAGCAAAGAGAATGAAAGTCTGAGGAAAATGGAAATGTGAAGACATGTGACTCACTCTCTCTCTCTCAGAGCTTCCTCTCCAGCTGCTGCGATCTTCCTGTAACAGTAGACCATCTCCACCACCAGCCACAACTGCAGCCCGATAATGGACACGTACATCATGATCTCGGATAAGATGGACGCTATGCCTCGTGTAGCTGGGGGTGAGTGAGAAAAAATTACAGTTCAGTTCAGAAATCTATATTAGGCTTTTCTATACCTTTCACATTTTCATATAATAACACCTTATCTGATTACTTTTGATTCACTACTCTTTTAATTTTGATCAAAAATGATAGACGTATTTGTGCAGGTTTCAGCACTGTCAGTATTATGTAAGATCTCATAATGTTCAGTAGTGACATCAGTGCTGATGTGGGCCCGACTCAGCCCCTGACTGGAAGTTAAAGATACTTCTAGCTGAATAATCACCGTCAGCATACATGACATGATGGCTTTGTCCAAGTGGACAGACATGTTTTCAGCTGAATCATCAAACTGGACATGTGGCCCTTCAGATTTCTAAGAAGCTGATTTTGAAAAATTACAATTTGATAATTTGTCTATTTTACATTGTATTAAAAGGGGAAAGTGTTTGTCCAAAATACTCTACATCTTCTTGATTTTTCCCCATAAAACACAAAATTAGATATGTTGCTAAATTAATTGCCTTGTGATTACTGGCTATCAAACTCTAAAATTGTCTAAAATTGTTAATTAGAGTGGGAGTTTTTGAATTATTATATTTAAGCTATTACATTTACATTTTCTGTTTTCATTTTAGTTACATTTTTAGTAATTTATGTGTTTGTAATTTCTATTAGCTTACATATATGTATATATGTTTTTGTAATTTCTATTAGTTTATATATATATACAGTGGGTACGGAAAGTATTCAGACCCCCTTAAATTTTTCACTCTTTGTTATATTGCAGCCATTTGCTAAAATCATTTAAGTTAATTTTTTTCCCTCATTAATGTACACACAGCACCCCATATTGACAGAAATATTTAAGTTTTCGTAGTTTTAGTACTTTATTTAGAACATTTTATATTAGTTAGTTGCCATGGCTAATTTAGTTCAATTTTTAAGCTAATAATTATATTTGATTGTATTTTAGCTTTATTTCAATTATCAAATATTATATTTAATAGACTTAGTTTTTGTTTTAGTTAACAATAACAACACTGTTGACTACGTGACTAATGGGACATGATTTTATACATGAGTTTTTTTTAATAATTTGTAATTTACTATTTATTTATTCTGTTGTCCTGCACATTTCCTATTTTTCTGAGCATAGGTAGTTTTTTTTTCTTTTGTCGTGTTTTATCTTGCTTTATCTTCTTTTATCATGTTTTATCTTGAGAAAAAGCTCAGGCAAAAAAAAGTATAATGTTGCATCAATCCACAATAGAAATATTGTAAACTTTTTTTCATCTAAATAACTCTGGGCAAATAAAATATGTACATTAGATTTTTAAAGATCCCTGCTTTCAAACAGATAAGCGTTGGTGAGTCAAATACAGCAATGATGAACGCCTTGATGCTGCTGCTATGACAACACTTTGCTTTCAGGGCCGGTTAAAGGCAATGACAGTGTCAATGACATTTCAAAGGCATTTCTATTCAGTGTTGACTCATCTTTCTTTATGGACACACCCTTGAGTTCCTTTCAAGGATGAATTAAGGATATTGTCAGGCTAATGATGTTGTCACCGCCTTACTTTGATTTGTGTCTGTTTGCATTTGGTTCCTCTCATGTAAATTTCCTTATTCCCACTGTCTGTTTTAATGAACATACCTTTGCCTACTACGTTGATGGAGATAAACCTGGTGGCATTGGTGCGGTACTCGTAATTGGAGAATACAAGGGTGCGGTCGAAGAAACATCGATAGGTGCCGGTGTCGTTGAAGGTGACGTTAAGGATGTAAATTGAGCCGTCCTGCACATCACGAGTTTTTTTACTGCCGTTCCAGGCTAGGCGTTCATCGAAGCGGTCATTCATTATGTAGCCTGTCATGTCTGCATAACTGTAGATCTAATTGTAAGAAAAAAGAGCTCTTATTAGCTTGTGAGACTGCTATGACAAATAACCAGTGTGAAGGACACAGTATCTATGCAGCACCCAAAAATTCTCCAGTACTTTGTGTCTCTAAAAATAGCTGTTAAAAAGGCACAAGGTCAGTGGTTGACTGTTGTCTTTGTCTGTATTTTATAGTGATGTGTCGTTCAATTTGAACGAATCTTTAATATGACTCTGGAACATCGAGTTGTCTCAGCGAGGGGTTCGTTCATTTCGTGTTGACTGCGTATGCGCAACATCCTATTGGTTCTTTACAGGAAACAGAAATGATTAGTTCACCTCTCGAATCTTCGGGTTGGGGTTCGAGTCATTCGTTCATCCCGTGACAGCCCCATAGACTAGAGGCTATGCAGCCTGTACCGAAAAGAGAAATGATTAGTTCACCTCCCGAGTCTTCGAGTCTGAGTCGTTCGTTC